TAATATTATATTATTATATATATATATATATATATATATATATATATATATATATATATATTATTTATATATTAATTTTTTATATCAAAATAGAATTAATTTTTTTTAAATAATTTAAAAATTTATATTTATTATTTTAAAAAAATCAATCTAAATATTATGTTGTAATAAATCTAACGAATTCAGCATATCGTATATATCCTGTATTTTTAGGATCAGCTTCCTTTATCATTTAATCTGTTTCTTCTTCTGATAATTATTCTCCTAATTATCTTACTAAATGTCTTAAGTGTTAACTTTCAATAATTCCGCTATTATTTTTATCAAATATTCTAAATGCTTCCATTAATTCTTCTTCAGGGTCTGTTTCTTTAATTTTTCTTGCCATTAAGGCCAAAAATTCTGGAAAATCTAACTTCCCTGTACCTTCTTAATCAATTTCTTATTGATATTCTTATATTTCTGCATCTGTAGGGTTTTAATTTGATCCACGAATTAAAAGTCCTAATTCAGATATTTTTATATAACCATCACCATCTTTATCAAAAAGTGTAAATTTTTCGCGATAATCGGCTATTTATTCTTGTGTTAATTATATATCTATTTTTTATTCCATATTTTTTTTTTTTTTTTAAATAAACTAAAAAAAAAAAATTAGAAAATTTAATTTATTAAAAATAAAAAATAAAAAAATAAAATAAAAAAAATTAACAAAAATATTTTCGAATTATTAAATACATTTTATATTTTCAAATCTTTTTTAAATAATATATATATTCTAATTAATAGATATAGGAAAAAAAAGAATTAATTATTAAATTTTAGAAGAAAATAAGATATATATAGATTTAAGAAAATAATAGACGCAAATATAAATAATGATAATTATAAAAAAAAAATCAAATTTTAAGAAAAAGTAAAATAGAAATAATTTACATTATTAAAATATTCTATTTTTTGTTTTATAATACATTTAATAAATAAAGTAATATAAAAATACATATATTATATTGAATTTTAATAAACTTTTATAATCAAAAAAATGAAAAAAAGCTAATTATATTATATTATATTATATTATATTAAAAATTAAAAAAAAATATTTTAAAAACAAATTAATATTTAAAAAAAAAAAAAAAATTAAAAAAAAATATGATAAAAGACAAAGACATATATAGAAATTGTGCACTTGGTAGATCATTAGAAGATTCAATAAATTAATTAAATTTAAATAGAAATTAGCAAGAAGTGGTGACAAAATTATGGCAATTATACGATGAAACATTATAAGCTTAATTAAGGCAGTTATAAAATTTCGAAGCAACAATAGAAGTTATTATATATATATATATATATATATATATATATATATATATATATATATATAACAAAATATTAAATATAAAATATAAATCTAAGGGTAAATTAGAAACTTTTCAAAGAATCCCTTATGAAGGTCATAAAGATACTTAAGTATGTAGATTAGTTATAAAAGATGCATTAATAAGATACAAAGATATTAACATTAGATCAAAATGTATTGATTGTCGAGAAAACGGAGAATTCATAAAAGTTGTTGCCTATGAATAAGAATAGAAAAAGAAAGATAAAAAAAGCAAAAAAGATAAAAAAGAAAACGACAAAACTAAAAGAATAACTAAAAAAAGATGAAAATAAATTATATTATATTTTTTTATTATATAATAATATAAATTTATGTATTTTTTATTTTATTTTTTTGTTAAAATATTTTTATAAATAATATATATTTTATTATTATTATTTTTTTAAAAAAAAAAAAATGACTTAAATTGAAAAATTAAAGAATTTTAAATAATCAGATAAAAATATTAAAAATCTCAATTCATATTAAAATTTCATTAATTTTACTAAAAATAAGAATCTATTTTTACCTAATTCCTCAAAATCTTAACCATAGATTAATAATTGTTCAAATTCATGTAATATAGACTAGTTAAAAGCTAAATTTAAGCAAGAATAAAATATTTTAATACAAAAACTAGAAAACAATCCTATAAAGTTATCAAAAACATTAAGCTTTACTTTTCAATAATAAACGAAGTTAAATATAAACTCTAAAATAAATCAATAATCTTCCCTAAAACATCGAAAAGTATACCAAACAAGTACAAATTCTCCTCAAAATGGAAAAGAAAATATAAAATAGGAATAAAAATAGTAAAATAAATATAATATAGAGTAATTAATATACGAAAATGATTAAAATATATGCGAATAATTAAATAAAATGCAATAAAAGAACCTATAAACAAAATAAATATTATAAATTGTAAATTTGGCTTGTGAGAAGGATATTTTTAAATAAAAAAGTTTTTAAAAAATGAAAAATTTAATCGAGATTTTTTCTTAAAAAATTTCTTAAAAAACAATGAAATTGAAACTTTATAAAATTAAAATTAAAATTTAAAATAATAAATATAAAATTTTGAAATAAAAAATAAAGAATAAAAATAAAAGGAAGATACTATGATGAAAATAATAAAAAAATAAAACATAAATTAATCTTAAATAGAACAAAATTAGCATCTTATTTAAAAAAAAGATGAGAACTCAGATTTTCTAGCCGATTAATCAAGTTTAAATATTTATATTTATTGTTTAAATATATTTTTTTACTATAGTTGTTAATGATTCGGACGAAAGTTCATTTAATTTCTATGGAAAAGACGGATTAGAAAATGAAAAAGTGTTAATTTAGCAATAAAAATCTAATAATAATAAATTTAAATAAAAGATCCCTATTAATAATAACATAAATAATTATAAATTTAAATTAAACTTATAGAAAATACTAAATTTTAATTAAATATAAAAAAATAATATTCAAAAATGAATAAAACAAAAATGACCAAAATTTTAATAAAAAACAAAAAATATTATATATATATATATATATATATATATATATATATATATATATATATATATATATATATATATATAGTATACGTATATATATAGTAAGTAGTAATATATATATATATATATATATATTTATATATATATATATATATATATATATATTTTTTTTTTTTTTTTTTCTCCCCCTATCAAATTAATTTTTTGAAAAAAAAAAAAAAAAAAAAAACATATATATATAATAATATTAAATGATTTTAAACTAAAAATTTACTAAAAAAGATTGGAAATTAGATGACTTTATTATCGGAAAGCAACTAGGGCGTGGTAAATTCGGCAGTGTATATCTAGCAAGGTAACAAAAAATGCAAATAAAAGCCTAAAAATAATATAAAAAGAGAAAAGAAATCCAATTTCATTGTCGCTTTGAAAGTTTTAGATAAATAGTAATTATAAATGAATAAAATTGAGCATTAAATAAGACGCGAAATCGAAATATAATCTCATTTAAACCACCAAAATATAATAAAGCTATTCGGTTTTTTTTATGATCAAAAAAACATATATTTAATTTTAGAATATGCCCCATAAGGAGAACTATATTAAGATTTACAGAATTAAGTAAAAACTACTTTTAATCAAAAAAAAAAAAAAAAAAAAGCCAAATAAAAAATACTCGGAATAAAAGGCGGCAAATTATATCAAATAAATGGCATAAGCATTAGTATATTTACATTCAAAAAACATTATACATAGAGATATAAAACCCGAAAATCTACTAAACTCATTCGGGACTATAAAAATAGCTGATTTTGGCTGGTCTATTCATTCCTAATCCAATAAAAGATAAACTATTTGTGGAACTCTAGATTATTTGTCACCTGAAATGGTAGAAGGAGGAACGCATAATTATTCTGTTGATATTTGGAGTTTAGGAATACTGTGTTATGAATTTTGTACAGGTGATACATATAAATGCATATATATAATTATATATATATGTATATATATAATAATATGTATATATATATATATATATAAATATATATTATTTTATTTAGGGTCTCCTCCGTTCGAAACTAATAGTTATAATAAAACATATGAACGAATAAGAAATGTAGATTTTTAATTACCTGACTATTTATCTAATGAACTGAAAAATTTACTGCGATAAATTCTTGTATATGATATAAATTCAAGACTTGATTTAAACAGTATTTTATAACATGAATGGATTATTTAGAATTGTATATGAGAGGGATAAAGTATATATATATAAAAATATATATGTTATATTTATATTTTTTATATATATGTTAAATATATGTTATATATATATGTTAAATATATATTTAAAATATATAAAAATTTATATATATATATATATATATATATATATATATATTATTTTTTAATATATTTATGCTCTTATACTTATTGTTTTCATATAAATATATTTGTCGTGTCTTCTATTATACCCCTCCATTTTTCGGGGCTATACATAGTTATTTCTATATATTTAGTTGAGAAGTTTTAGTCGTTTTTTTTTTCGAAAATAGCCTAAAAAAATAGCATTTAAAAATATGAAAAAAATATGGTTTTTTTTTTTTACACATTTATATATCCTTTCGCACTTGTTTTAACATCGTAAAATTCTGAATAATAAATATAATTATTTTTTCTGAATTATTTATAAATAAGTACATTTATAAGACAAAAAGTATCCATATTTATGAATTTTTGTGTTTTTTCATGATCTTATATTTTATGTAATAAATAACTAGTTTTTTTTTTTTTTTTTTAATTAAATATCTTTTGTTTTTTTGTTTTTTTTTACATATTAAAATTATTCGAAATATTCTCGCCATTTAAAAATTTCTTTAAAAATAAATTATAAACCTAAATATGAATTCTTTAAGTTTTCGTCATTTAATATAATCCTGGAAAAACGATAATTAAAGGATAAAAAGACTCAAAAACAAGACCAAAAGTAATACCTAGACTAGAGAAAATAATATCATAAAAATGCTTTTCTATGAATTTTTTGCCGTCTTTTTATTCATTAAACTCTAGTTTTTAAAAATAATGATGATTTTTATTTAGAGAATGATTATATAACCCAATATTTTAATTTTTGGAACAAAAATAAGCTTTTTATATTGATTTTATGTTTCTTAACATTTTTATTTATTTTATAAAAATTTTATTTTAATAATTTTTTTTTTTTTTTTTTAAATAAAATAGTTTAATTTTTTTTTTTTTTTTTTTTTTCATTAATTATTTATACATTCCTTTATTTTTTATTCGATTTATTTCTTTTCTTAAATAAAACCATCCTTTATTCTTAAAAAATCCTTAAAAATAATATTAATATATATATATCTATATAAAAAATACTAAAGTCCTTCTATAATATGTAATAGCATCTTGATATTTATAAATATTGGAATATATATCTCCAATATATGTATTTAATTTAACAAAATAATAATCTTAATTTTTTAATTATTAGGAATTACAAAGAGCATTTTTATATATATCTATACATTAAGCATAATTTTCTATATGCAAATAAGTACTTGCTAAATTGCATTAAATAAATACTAAATTTTCTAAATCATTATTTTAATCTTATTGACAAATTTAACTATTTATATATATATATATATATATATATATATATATATATATATATATATATAAATAACTTAAAATACATTGCAAATAAATATCCCTTAATAGCTAAATTAAAGTAAGAATTATTTCTTAAAATATTTCCCATTTCGTTTAAAATTTATATTAAATTATAATTATCATCCTACTCTTATGCAATTTATATTATTTAATCGAAAAAATATTACACTATATTATTCTATTTTTACTAACAACTCAAAAAAAGTCCATTTAGTAACACAATTAAGCATTTTTAGTCATTCTTTCCATATAAAAATTAATATATTTTATAACATTATTTATAATAATATATAGCATCCTCAATTTTTTATAGTTTTATACTAATATTTGCTAACTAAAGTACTATATTACTACTAATTATGTTATTTTATCCATATTTAATATCATAAATATTTAAAGCTTATATATACTTTTTAAAACATACTTTATATTATTAAAGTTTTTATGAGCATTTAGCATATTATAGGTATATATTAGCACATTCTATACTTTAATCAGAAAAAACTTAATTTTTCATTTACAAAACTTATTCGTAATATTCTAAAGATAGATTATATTATTCTAAATCGAAATATATATTTCCTAATAATTGCAAACTTTTTATATATAAATGTAGTTTTTGTTAAAAAACACATTTTTATTCATTTATTTTGTTTTTGATTTTTTCTAAATTTTATACGGCTTCTTATTATTTATTAATTTTTAATTAAACTTAAGCCATATTAAATAATAGATCTAATTATCTAAATTACATTTAAAAATAAATATATATATATATATATATATATATATTTATATTTATATATTAATATAATTATTAATATTACTCATTAATATCTAAATATCTAACCAAAATCTATTAATATTATAATTAATTTTCGTAATCTTATAAGTTTTAAAGACATTCGCAAATTTAATAATATATTTTTTTCAAATAGAGTTCTTTATATTTTTAAACAGTTTTTTATAAATTTATATCGAAGTTTTTTGGATTAACATATTCTATTTGTACGGTCAAATACTATTTCTATAAAATATAATTTTTAATTTCTTTCGAATAATTAATTGCGCAATTCCTTAGAGTAAATACACATTTATATTAATATATATCTTATATATTTTATCTTTAGTTTATAATATTATTACAATAATCTAATGCTTTTTCAATTTAGCCTTATCTATAAAAAAATTAGGACCATAAATAATTGATATACCTATTATTTTTTTGCAAATAATATAATTTATGATATTATCTATATAAAAGTACATATTTTAAGAATCATATATATCCTTTTATTGTGATAAATTTTCCAATTTTTCAATTAATATTTTAAATTCAGTAAACTTGTTTTATTTAAGCATTTAAAGAGCATTTTTTTACATATTAGTTATACTATACTATTAATATTATTAACTTTAGTTTTATTATGGCGAGTTAATGTCTGAGTTAAACTAAAATGTACTGTTTATATAAGAATCTGAGTTTATTTATTTATTTTGATTATTTTATTATTTAATAGGAGAGACGATATTTAAAAAGCTTTTGTTATTTTATGATAAAGACCTTATTTTCTTTAATAAATAACTTTATTATTAATTTTTTTAGTCGCATTTAAATCGCTTTTAAATTTCATTTATTTTCTAGAAAATTTTGTCGTTTATTTATTTATTGTTTTTATCACTTCTGTTTGTAGAAAATAGAGAATTAGATTTCTAATTTAACCTTATTTCATCTTCTTTTAGTTAATTTTAAGACATTTATAAACTTTGTTATTATTTATTTATTATTTTAAAAGATCTATTATTATCATTATTAAAGTTCTCATATTTTTCGTTGTAAAAATTAATAAAGTTCTCATGTTTTTCCTTGTAAAAATTCTCATTTTATTCATTAGAAATATTCTCATTTTTTTCCTTGTAAAAATTATTAAAATTCTCATTTTTTTCATTATTAAAATTCTCATTTTTTTCATTAGAAAAATTATTAAAATTCTCATTTTTTTCATTGTAAAAATTCTCATTTTTTTCATTAGAAAAATTGTCTAAATTCTCATTTTTTTCATTATTAAAATTCTCATTTTTTTCATTAGAAAAATTGTCTAAATTCTCATTTTTTTCAATATAAAAATTATACAAATTCTCATTTTTTTCCTTGTAAAAATTATTAAAATTCTCATTTTTTTCATTATTAAAATTCTCATTTTTTTCATTAGAAAAATTATAAAAATTCTCATTTTTTCATTATAAAAATTATACAAATTCTCATTTTTTTCATTAGAAAAATTGTCTAAATTCTCATTTTTTTCATTATTAAAATTCTCATTTTTTTCATTAGAAAAATTATAAAAATTCTCATTTTTTTCATTATTAAAATTCTCATTTTTTTCATTAGAAAAATTATAAAAATTCTCATTTTTTTCATTATTAAAATTCTCATTTTTTTCATTAGAAAAATTATTAAAATTCTCATTTTTTTCATTGTAAAAATTCTCATTTTCTTTATTTCAAAAATTTCTATTTTAAAAATTATCATTTTTTTCATAAATATCTTATTCTTCTTCTTTTTATTCAAAATTATTAAAAACAATTGCTTCATGCTCTTTTTATTTCAAAGATATTAATGGTCTATTCGACTAAGTTAATTTTTTGAATAAATCAGTTTGAATTCTATTTTTTTCGCTTTTAAATTATGAATTACTACTTATATAATTAAATGAACTATTAGAATATTCAAATAATATTTCTTTATTATTAGAGGAATAATCTTATTATTTTTTCGGAGTATTTTCTACAAAATATTTATTTAAATCTTTCTATATTTGTATATCTTCATAATTTTGATATTCATCTTCTTCTATATCTTCAATATTATACGAATCATTATCATTTAAAGATTATTATTAATTAAAATTATTTCTTTAATCATTAAATAATTTTTAGATATTATAATTTTTAAAAAAAGACTTTTAATCTTCATTATAGTCATGGTTTGTATTAATTGTTATATTTATACTATTTTGGATTTAATTATGTTTTTTCTTTAATTATTCTAATGACTCAGAGTTTTATATATTATTTTATAATTCAACTTATTAAATTTGGTTAAATCGTGAAAATGTAAACATTTTTTAATTTCAAAAATATTTAAGTTTTATAAAAAAAGATGTATTTTTTAAATTATACTAAATAAATATTTTATATTATTTATAAATTTTATGATATTGTATATATAAGATATTTGAATAATAAAATATAAACTTTAATTCAATTATTATATTATATAGATATATATATTTAAATATTTATGTAATTTATATATATATATTGTATTTATATATATTTATTTTTTTAGTAGTTTTTTTTGAATTTTTATTTTTTCATTTAATGTTATTTATTATGTATAAATTCTATTACTTATATATAAGGTAGTATTTCAAATAATATTTTTATTTAATTTATCTTTTTATTATATATTTTAATTGCTTTAAATTATTTTAATATTTAATTATGCTTTTCCTTTCTTTTTTTTTTTTTTTTTTTTTTTACGATACTAAATTAAACATTTTATATTTAAATAATATCCCGAAATTTAGGCCATAATATATATTCCTGATTTAAAAAATAGGAATAAACTAATTATATATATATAAGTCTTTTTAATTTTTAAAATAAAAAAAAACTCTATTACTAAAATAAACTCATGTTTTATTACATAAATCACTTTTATTAATATCTATAGTTTTGAGTTACCCAAAAATAACTCATAAATTTCATTAAATATATTAATTATTCTTTATACAAAATAAATATTAAGTATAAATAAATAATAATTTAAAAACAAAAAAATAACATATAATATATATATATTTATTTATTATATATAATAAATAATTTAATTTTATACATTTTATTAAATTTCAATTGATTATTTTAAAAATTTATATTTTAATAAAAAGTATTTTATATATTTAATAATTATATAAAAAACCACTTTTATTTCCTTTCCTTTTTTTTTTTAAAAAAAATCTATTTATATTATAAATAAATAATTATATATGTATAAATATATTTTATTTAATTAAAAAATAAATTTAACAAAAAAAATAAAATGAAAAAATTTAATGTCGATTAATTAGTTTGGGCAAAGCTAAAAGGTTATCCATGGTGGCCTTCCATAGTTTAAAAAACAATTAATACTTATCTAAAATTAAATAAAAAAAAAAGGTTTCAAGTGTAAATGCAACAGATTGTATAGTAAATTTTTTAGGAGAATATACACAGTATGCTATTTTTTTAGAGAGTATATATAAGAATATCTTTTTTTTAAAAAAAACAAAACAAAACAAAAAAAGCGCATCAATTAAATTCGAATAAATAAATGATTTTTAATAATTTTATGATTTGCATGCAAAAAATAATTAAATTAAAAGTAAAAAACTTCAAAGTGCAATTGAATAAGGATAATAAATATTAGAGGGATTAACAACATATTAATGTATTATTTTATTTTATAATAAAAAAAAAATATATCTTTCTTTTATTTAAAAAAAAATATAGAGGAATATAACAAATATCTATTAAAAGTGAAAATAATAATAATATTAGTTTTATATAATGCATTTTAAATTAATAAATATATAAAATATATAAATATATATATTTTATATATATATATATATATATATATTTATTTATGCTTACTCTATATTTTTAATATATAAAATATAAAGAAAACTGAAGGAAAACAAATTATAAAAAATCACTAAGTATAAAAAAATTTAAAAAAATAGGATATATAATTAAATGAGAAAAAAAATGGCGGTTTTTTAAAAAAATTTAAAAATATTAATTTATTTAAAAATAGAAAATAATTTTGAATAAAAATTATAAAAAATAAATCAGAAATTCAAATAAAAAAATCAGATATAAATATAGAAATAAATTCAAAAAGAAAAAAATAAATAAACTTAGAAACTAGCTAAAAAAAAATTGCTAAAACTACAAGAAAAATATAAAAAGAAAAACTCAAATATATTTAAAAATATCAATGAAAATTCTATGAAAAACTTAATTATTAAAGATCCTTCTAATTTCTAATAAATTTAACACAATCTAAAATAAATAGTAATAAATTTAAATAAAAATGAAAAGGATTAGAGAGAATAAAATATTAAAGATATATATAATACCTGTAAATAATTTAATGAAATAAAAATATCAACAATAGATTTAATTAAAAGTTAATTAGGAAAATTATTTACATAAATATATACTATGTGTGATTAAAAAAAATATGTAAATAAAAATATATAAATATATTATTATTATAATAAATATTATTAATAGAATATGGAAGATAAAAACATAGAAAAATTAGAAGAAACAATAAATAATATAAAAGATAGAATGTTAAATGAAACATTAGGTTTAAATGAAATTACAATAAATAATAATAATAATAATAATAATAATAATAATAATAATAATAATAATAATAATTTATTTAATAAATAATAAATGTTTATATAAAAAATATAAAAAATTATACAAAAATTATTATAATAAAATTATTTTGTTGATAAAGAAAAAGCTTAATAAATTTTCGAAAAAATCTAATTATATACTAAAAATGAAGATTTCTAAATTAATCATTAATACAAAAATTATATAAAAGGCATTATAAGAGTTCTTAAAACTAAAATTATAGATGTAAAATAAATTGATAATATGGAAATTAATTAATTAGTTGAATTTATTTAAGACTAAAATGATTAAAATGATTTTTAATTATTTAATATACCAACTTTTTAATATTGAAAAAAATTAGAATAAAAAATAAATTGGAAAAAATTCATCTAACTAATTTAAAATAAAATTTTTAATTATATAATATAAATTTCATATTATATTTTATAATTATAAAAATTAAAATTTTATTTTGAAAATATTTATATATGAAAAAATTTAGTATATATAAATATTTCTAAAAACATAAAAAAAAAAAGAATGTATATATATATATATATATATATATATATATATACATATTTACGTATTTTTATATATATATTTTTTTATTTCCCGTCAAATATTTAATTAAATAAAATATTTTTAAATATTATATATATTTAAAAAATAAAATATGGATAAAATTTTAAATCCTTAATAATTATTTTAATCCTATTAAATATTAAATTATTTTTACGCTTTTTAAGAACTATTTGAGCTCTAAAATTTAGAAAGTATTAAAAACGAGTTTATTTTATAATAAAATAGCTAAATTTTTAACCTTTTATGTTCTAAAATTACCTAACAAATATGGAAAAGTCACATTTAATAAAATTCTAAATAATATTTTTCTATACATAAGTCAAAATAACTTAATTTTAACACTGTTCTGGCATTTGTTAATGATTTTTAAGACGATCTCAATAAATTTTTCTAAACAGACATCTTCTAATATTTATGGAAGGACATAATACTGAATATATTCGACTATCCTTTATTCTAACAGTAAGTTTTATAAGAAAACTAAGAAAAAATAGACTTTTATTATAATAAGACGACTTTAATTTCCAAGAACAATTAGAAGTTTTACAATTTTTGATAAAAATATCATATAAACTACCTTCTTTATAACATTTGTTTTCTATATAGGAGAACCCTGAGAAAAAGCAGGCTAGATGTACCAATATGTATATGCAAAAAATATATTTTAACGAAGAAAACAACGATATTTTTTATATTTGTTTTTAGGAAAAAAACTCTGTTTTTTTATAGAAATAAACCTCTCTTTTTTATATAGGAAATTACGAAAATTGCAAAAATTAATTTTCTTAAGAAATATAGTCTAAAATCGAATAAAATTTAAAAAATTAATAAAAAAATACTTAAAATACCAAAAATAAAGAAAATTTAAATTTCCCTAAATTAAATTTAAATTTCGTTAAAAATTTAATTATTGAAAGTTGTTAAACTTATTTTAGATTTTAAAATGAATACTGGCATAGTATTACTTATACTTAGGAATAAGAAGAAAAACTATATCTATAAATCTAAAATACGTCCAATTTAACAGATTTATGTAATATTTTGAACAAAATAATATCTAAATTAGTCAATATTGTTACTTATTATATAGATTAAGCACCTTCTATGTATTTTATTGAGTAAGACTTCAGTTTATAATAACTAATTATTCTTAAAAATGATCAGGATTAATACGGAGGAGATTATGGGGATTAAGAAGTTAAAGCTAAGAGAAAATATCTAAGGAATATAGTCTTTAGTTATGAATAGAAAATTAAAATTTATAATCTTATTAATTATTGTTGTGAATAATAGAATTTGAATTATTTTTATTTCGCAGGAATGGCATTTCATGCTATAATGGTGACTTATAGTAATAAATCAAAAGTGAAATTAAATAATTAAAGAAATGATTGATATAATATAAATATATATATATATATATATATATATATATATATATATATATATATAATATACTTATATTTTTTTATTATTTTTTTTTATTTTTTAAATGATAACTATATATTACTTATAAATATAAAAAAAAAAATATAAAAAAAAATTATCAATAGAAGTAATATATATAAAAAAAAATTAATAAATAAACAAAATATACTATAAATCTAAATCATATATATATAAAAAAAAATTACTTTATTCTAAAACTTAATTTATATAAAAAAGGTAATATTTATTTAGGTAAACATTTAAAATAGAATTTATATTAAAATAAAAGAATTAAAGATATTATTTCAAAAGATTTATAAGAATATTTATTTGATTTATTATTAATATTTAGGAATAAGATAGATAAATGTATTAATATATAATTTAAAGAATTAAATAGTATTTTATAATAATATAATATTTAATAAAACATATAGAATTATATATTTTTATTATTTTAAAAAAAATATTATAAATTAAAATAAATAAAAAAAATGATATAATATATAAAAAATAAAATTTATTTATTTAAAATTAAAATATAAATGAAATATTAAAAATAAATAATTTTTATATATATTTTTTATAAAAAATAAAAATTAAGAAAAAATAGTATAATAAATATTTATATTAAAACAATTTTTAATTATTTTTATATTTTATTTATTATTTCTATTATTTATTTTTTATTAATATTATCAATTTTTTTATTATTATTATTATTATTGTTATAATTAATATTATTATTATTATTGTTATTATTATTATTACTATTGTTATTGTTTTTATTCTTAATGTTATTATAGTTATTGTTACTATTGTTATTATTATAATTATTGTTATTATATTTATTATTATTATAATTGTTATTATAATTATTATTATTATTAATATTGTTATTGTTATTATAATTATTGCTATTATTATTTTTATTATTATTATTATTATTATTATAATTATTGTTATTATATTTATTTTTATTGTTATTATAATTATTATAATATATATTCTTAATTATTTTAGTGTTCTATTTAATATTAATCATTTTATTTGTTTATATCATTATTGATATTTTAATTATTTATTTATGACGATTATTCTTAATTTTTTAAATTTGTACTATTATTTATATTTTAATCATATTATTATTATTATTATTATTATTATTATTATTATTATAATTATTATTATTATATCTTTTATATTCCATTACTATTTTAATTTATTGAATTATATTAATTTATTTTATTATCTATATTATTAATTATACTATTATTAATATCATTACTTATAAGTTTATTTGGATTTTCTTAATTTTTAATATTTGTACTATCCTATATATTTTCTTAATTTTGATTACTATTTTATTTTTATATCTAAAGTTAATTATATTTCTTAATACTATAATCATTTTTTTTTCTTTCTATTTTTGTATTAATAATAGGGTTAACATAAGCATTCTTTTCTCTTAAATCAATACCAAAATTTATTAAAATCCATTCATTTTTAAATTTTTCTCTTACATTATTTTTTATATGATCTTTGCATTTTTATTCTTTTAATTATATATAAAAATAAATAATTATTTATATTAATATATAATTTTTTTTTTACCTATTTATAAATAAGGTTTATCTATATTTCCTAAAAAACTAATAACTATTTCATTTGTTTTTATTGGAAGTTCAAATTTTTTACATCTTCCTTAATTTAAATCTGAACCTACTTCAATAAATTTTCCTTTAGATGTTGTTAGCTTTAAATATTCGATTTATTTTTGTCCTTATAAACCTTCAATATTACTTATGTATTCAGTTCCATAAAGTTTTAATTCTACATGTTTCATTTGGACTCTGTTATTACTTCCGAAAGATTATAAACACTTTTTTTCCCCATTTGATAATAAGTAAGTTGTCATGAGGCACATTATCATATCTTAATAATACCAAAAATCAACTTTATTGATAATATGGTCCTTATTTTCTGGTAAATCAACTATATTATCAAAACCGATTAATCCGTTAGGGATTCCTCTGATTTCTCTTTTAAACTATTTTGGTTTTTCATGAGGAATAAAGAAATTCTTTTTTAATATTATATATATATATATATATATATATGAATATATATGTATATATATATAAATGCATATATATGTATATATTAATATTTTTATATTTTATATTTACTGTATTTATATTCTTGATAAATTTATTATTTTCACCTATTGATTTGATTGCATTTACCATATTTAAATTATTTTTATTTGATTAAATATTTTTAAGATTTTCTAATATTTCTTATTATTATTTTATTTCCTATTTCATTTAAATATATATATAAATTTATATATATTTTTTATATTTCGTTTAAATATTGATAATTACCTTTTCTTTAATTTGTATAATTTATTATAATTATACATTTTTTTAAATTATAGGTTTCATCTTATTTTATATTTAAATTTATTCTAATTTTTTTTGTTTTTATATTATCTTATGACTTTCATCTAATATAATTATGTCTTCTTTCATTTTTAATATTAGATCTTCAGATAACTAAATTTTTATATAATTTAAAAATATATATTAACTTTTTTTAATTACTTCTATTTTTTTACAAACATTATTTTATTCTTCGACTTCAATAAAAACTTTTATTTCCTATATAACAAAAAACAAAATGAAATATTTTAATTAAATAATATATTTACTTTATATAAAGGTTCAAAAGGAGCAAAATTTATTCCATATTATTCGCAAATTTCCTAATGTTTCAACTCTAATTTTTTTACAAATTCTTGAGTTTTTTAAACCCTTTTTCATTTAATCTTATAGAAACTTTAGTATTTTTAATTTAAGCCTTTAAATTATCTATTTCTTCCCTTAAGAGTTATTTTGTATTATCATTTTTTTAACAAGAATTGCCTTTTCTTATTCTCTTGTAATTTCAATTAATTTTTTATTTATTTATTAAGTTTCGACTAATCGATAATCTACATCTTTTATCAATATTTACCACTGACTAACTCTATAAATAATAAATAAAATATAAATTATTAAATAAAAAATAAAAAAGAAATTAAAAGCTATAAAAATATAAAAGTATATATAAATAAAAAAAAAAATTAAAAAAATAGATTAATAAAAATAAATAAATATATAAATATATAAATATATATTTATATTTATATTTATATTTATATTTATATTTATATTTATATTTATATTTATTTATTAATAATTCAAATTATACTTTTCTTATGCATATTAATCTTCTTATTTCGATAAATTATTTATTTATTTATTATATTATTATAGTTTTTTTTTATAGTTATCTAATTTATTTAATGAAGAAACTTTTTTTAAAAAAAAATTAAAAATTAATATTTTTTTATTCTATTACATATGCTATTTTCTTAATTTTATAATTAGTTTTTTTCACTTAATTTAGTTTTATATTTATCAATTGTTCCATCTATTTTATGACTTAATTCTTTCAAATTTTATATTAATTTATTATTAACAGCTTTAGCTTTTTAAACTTCTTATATTCTATAATTATATAGTTTAATATTTATATATATATTATATTAATATAAACTATTATTTAAGTTTTTGTTGCATTATATTATTTATACAATAAAAACATTCTGGTTTTTTCTCTCTATATTATTTTTTTAAATATTTATAAATATATTTTATATTTTTTCCTTAATATTTATTTTTTTACAATTCGTATTATTATAAATCTGATGCAATATCATAGTCTTAATTGACATACTGATTGCTATCCGATTAATTTTAATTTTATTCTTGATTATTTAAATTATTTTCATATAAATTTTATATATTTTCAGATTAACTTTAATTTGATTTAGTTTAATTCAAATTATTATTATCATTTTCTTATATTTATGTGTCAGTTTATATTTACATATCTTTATTCATGATTTTCGTTTGTTAAAAATTATAATTATTAAGTTATATTTTTTTTCTTTTATAATTAAAATATAAATTAATTAGTTATTTTATAAATAAAAAAAAAATTATTTCGAAACTTATTCTTTATATTAATTTATTATAATAATAAAAATATAGATTTATATATATTAATATTTTTATCATAAATAAGAACTAAAAATCTTTTAAAAATCATTATTATTTGAAAAAAATTAATCATTTTAAAAATCTGTTTTTATATTTTTAATTTTCTCAAAAGACAAATCCAAATCTTTAAAAATTTGAAAATCTCTATCTGATTCTTAATATTTTTCGAAAATAATTTTATTTTTGTTAATATTGCTAAAAAAGTCTTTCAAATAAATCTAATTTATTTTTTAAAAAAAAATATATATATATATATATATATTTATATTTATATTTATATTTATATTTATATTTTACCTTAGATTAATCTTTTTTTGGGTTTGTATTTTTGTAACCTATATCACCTTTTAAAACTGAAGATGGAAATTCTGTCATAAGATCAGCTAAAGTTAATTCTTTGTTTTTCATTAAGTTTTTTTTTAAATAATAATAAGTAATTTATGATAATCTAAACACATATATAAAATAATAAAATAACTATATATATATATTACTAATCTGATTTAGATACAGATAAATTTTCATCAAAACCACTAGAATATGATTTCTAACCAAAAGAACTACTACCTAGACCAAAAATATTTGGTGCCGTGAGTTTATCGAAAATAGTAGAAGCACTACAACTATCATTTATCATAAGCATTTCTTTATATCTTAAATTTTTTATAAAAGATTATAAATACATATATATTAAATAAATAATTACAGATTTTTAATATAACTTTCTTATAAAATTTCATCAAATTATTCATCTAAAACAAAGTCTGTATCTTACATTTTTAAATATCCATCACCTCCATGCCCTGTAAAAAAGGTTAAGATTTTCGTATTTTTATTAGTGACTAATCTTTTAGACCTTGGTGTCTTTTTTTAAAAAATTTATAATTATATATATATATCTATTTTTTATTACAAATTTAGTGTATCTTCCTCTTAACATATTAGATAATGTTTTTACACTTACGTCGGCTGATTTATAATCAATTTCTGCGTTTTTAAATAAATTAGGTTCACTTTATTCGTCTACAGGACATACGATTCCTATTTTATTTTTTCTTAAATTAAATAAAATTAATTTTTAATAATAATAAAATAATAACCCGGATCATTATTTCTTGGATTACAGGCTGAATTCTCTGGAATCAATAATATGATCTTTTATAAATGTATATATAATTAAATTATTTTAATTAAATATACATTTTCATCTTCTACACCTAAACCACGGACTGCATCATAAATCATTAATGCATTATTTGCTTATCTAAAATTAAACCAAAATTTAGAACTGCTTAAAATAATGATTTATAAATCTTGTACAGCCTACCCTTAAACATTAATAACTAATAAAATAAAAATGACTATAAATAAAAGTATTTTCATTGATGTAATTTATATAATTAAAATATAATATATAAAATATAAATCTATCAATATCTATCTATCAATATATATATATATATATATATATATATATATATATATATATATATATATATATATATATATATTTAATTAATAATACTCTCTTAACTAAAATATTAACTTATATTATTTAAAAATGGTAATTTTTTAAGATATTTTCCCGAATACATTAAACAATATATTTTCTTGGGATACTTTCGAAAAACTTCCGAAGTCCGGAAATACTGACGTCTTCGGTTTAACGAATCCAATCCGTTTCAAATCATATTCAGCATGGCATGTAAAATAAAAATCCAGTTACCCTCATACCCGTAGATATATATTAATGCGTGGAATATTAGAAAACGATATAAACGTAGTAAAAGATGCTTTAGATCATGGTTTTTGTATAAATTCCTCAGTTGATTTAAAATATGGATTTAATGCGTTAACTTTAGCCGCTACATTAGATAAAACGGCTATTTTATAATACTTACATTTAAGAGGCGGTAATGTAGATGGATTCGATTTGACTGGAAATACACCTTTAATGCATGCAGTTAAGAGTTGGAATTTCGAAAGTATTAAAATCTTAGTTGAAAAATGTAAATGTGATATTTTAATAAAAGATTAATTTGGGTTAAATGCTATAGATAAAGCCAGAAATAAAAATTTAGAGGCTATTGTAAAATATTTGTAAAATTAAGTAATTTCTTAATAATAAAATGATAATTTTAAGAGTTTACCAAAATTTTAAATTTAATTTAATTTCGAAAAGAAATTTGAAGATTTTATTTCAGAATAGATTATTATTGGAAAAAAAATATATAAATCTTAAGTTTTGAAGTATCCTTTTAATAATTTCAAAGGAATATATAGAGCTAATTTTGTTAATTTTGATATTATTAAGCCTTGATTATTAGAGACTATCTAATTTAACTCTTTTTTATTTTGAAATAATATAAATATATATATATATATATATATACATATTTTAGTTTATTTTAATATAAAAATTAAATTTTAATATAACAATAAATATAATAGAGGGGAAGGTGGAGAAAAAAAAAAAAAAAAAATGGAAATGAAATAAATGGAAGCCGATTTTGGAACTAATTTAAAAGACTAAAAACTATAAGATATATAAATAAAACTGGGAGAATTCGAGTATATATATGATTCATCAAAATTTTTATGGAAAACGAACATGAAAATATAAGATTTTGTTGATATAAATAATAATAATGAGGACAATTAAGAATAATAATAAATATAAAATAATAATTTAAATACTACATAAATAGAAGAGGATAATGGCGATAAAATAACGATTTCCGAAAGAGTTTAAATCATAGAAACTAAGAAATTATAAATCAATAATATAGAAAATTAAATTGAAAATATTAGAAAAAAAATCAATGAAATCAAATCTAATTTAGAAATAGCCGAAAAATCTAATATAAAATACACTGAAAACTATGTAATTTTACATTTAGAAACTGATTAAATCAAAAGTTAATGTATTTAATTAGATAATCTTTAATAAGAATTAGAAATATTAAATAATTATTGAAAAATTACATATATATATATATTATATATATTCATTTTTTTTTTTATTATAATTTTAAAAATATTATATATTTAAAATAAAAAAAATACAATTAAATTAAACAAATAATTAAAAAGTAAAATATTGCATCCGAAAGTTAAATATATTTATGTTGTAAACCTCCAAAATTTGACTGAATATGCTATATAAATAAAAAAATAGTAATATAAAATGCACTTAAATACATAAAAGAGACTTAGGTATATCAATATTTACAACAACAAAAATAATATTTAAGACATTTCAATGTCATATAATATCAGAATAGACACTAGTTTAAATTTTTTAGATACGTATTTGCTTTAATAAAATTTATATATTTTGTAGTAAAAAAAAAAAAAATAATCTTGTCAAATATTTTAAAATATGGAAATTTAGATATTTTTTATTTATATTATAAGACAAACTATAAATTAAATTAATATAAATAAAATAAATTAACAATAAGTAAATTATAAAAAAGATAAAAAATGGACAAAAACAAAATAATATGCTTATATTGATAATATTTAGATATGAAATAAAAAGAATAATTGAATTATTTAATATAGCAAAAAAAAATTTAAATAAAGTTATAGTAAGATTAAATATAAATGTGAGAATACAAATGTGGAAAAAGATAAAATAAATATAAAAGATTTAAAAATGATATACTTTATATTATAAATGATTTGAATAAATTAAATAAAGTAATAATTAGTAAATATATATATATATATATATTTATATATATATAAATATATATATATTTAAATGTATATATTTATTGTATTTAAATTATATAATTCTAATTTTTTAAATAAATTATATGTGCTTTTTAATTATTATTTTTATAATTATTTTTCTTAAAATAATATAATTATTTTTAATATTTTAAAAACCATACATGATATATAATACAATTATTATCCTATTAAGCTTTTTAAAAAATATATTATATATAAAAAACATAATAAAAAGATTATTTTTAATTAATATAATAGTTTTGTAATACTTTTAATCTTGATTTAATTTACTTAAACAACAAATAATTGACTTTATATATATATTTAAATATTAGGTGAACTAATAAAAAAATATTAAGATAAACTAAAAATATTATGAAATTTTTTTAAAGAATTTTTATTTATTTTAAATATCAAAATAATATATAAACATTAATAATAATTTAAAAAAAATATATTTAAAAAATAAATTTAATAATAATATATAAATAAAAAAGTATGCATATATATTTATATATAGATAAAGATATAAAATATTTAAATTAAATATTTATAAATATTTAATGATATGAATATATATATATTTTTTTATATAAATGATATAATAATTTTTTATTTATAATATTAATTTTTTTAATATTATTTTTAACTTCTTATATTTATATAATTTTTATATATTTTAAATATATTATAGTTATTTCATAAATAATTTTTTTCTTAATTTTATTTTATTTCTTTTATAATATAAATTTTATTATTTTAAATAACTTATTACTTAAAATTTTTAAAATTAATGCATTATTTATTATTAAGAACATATATATATTTTTAAACAACTTATTATTAATAATATTAAATTTTTTATTTTAATTTATAAAAATAAATAAATTAAGATATATTTATTTTTAGATGTATAAAATAAATAAAAAATAATGCTTAAATTAGTAAAATTTATCTCTATTTTATCTATTCATTATTATTTTTAATAAAAATTATATTAAATTTATGAAAATTATAGATAATATTTTTGTAATTTAATTTATTTTTTGATTTTATTTATATATAAAAGTAATTTATAAAAAAAAATACTTAATTTTTTGTATAAAAATTTTTAAAAAATTATAAAACATGGAATTATACTAAATTTAAAATGAAATATTTAAAGGAATAGATATTAAAAAATAAATAAGGGATTTTCAAATAGAAAATTAATTAAAAAATGTACTTTTTAATTGCAAATAATAATGCTTTGATTTCGATAAATAAAATATATCAGAAAAAGAAAAAAAATGCTTTGAAAATTGCTCCTAAAAACTAATAATTGATACACTTTAACTAACGAAATAAATTATTGTAAAAAAATGATCACAAATATATATATATATATATATATATATATATATATATATATATATATTTATATTTTTATATTTTATTTATAAGAATTTTAATAAAATATACCATATATTTTTTCCTTATTAAAAAATAGATATTTATTAAAAATTTATTTTTGATTATCCTTTTTTAATATATTTTATATAATTATTTTTAAAAATATAAGAATAACAGAATATTAATTAAATTAATATATTTTTTCTATTTAAAAAAAAAGAAAAAATAATATTAATTTATATAATAATAAAATTAAAAAATGTTTGGATTTAATTATAATCAACTATTTAATGATTTAACATTAAATTAAGCTTATAATGGATTAGCTGATTTATTTTTCTAAACTGAAAATACGAATAATAATTAAAATCATAGCAATTTTTTTGATGAATAATAATAAGAATATTCTAATGTATAACCAACATTTTAAAACACGCGTTCGAATTGGAAAAAATCAGACAGTAAAAATGAAAAAAAGAAAAAAAAAGAAGAAAAAATAAAAGAATAACCTAAATAAAATACAGGAGCATACTGGAAATAAAAAGCAAACGAAGCATATAATAGTAATTATATAGATTTAGCGATTGAATATTATACAAGAGCAATAGCTATTGATAATTCTTAGTCAATATTTTATTCTAATAGAGGAAAATGCTATAAAAGGAGGGGAATGATTAAATAAGTATTTTAAATTTTTAATAAATATTATATTTTAAAAGGCTTACGAAGATGCCGTATATGCTATCGAATTAGATGAAAGTAATATCAAAGCTTAACTTTTATGTGGATAATTATTATGTGAAATGGGGAAAAATGATAAGGATTTAAATAAAATATAAAATGGAATAAAAAGATTGACAAGAGGTATTATATATATATATATATACATATATATATATATTTATATATATAATCTATTAAATTTTTAATTTTTAATTTTTTTTTTTGGTTGTCATTTTTTATTTAATATATAGCCTTAACTTTATGCAGTAAAAACAAAAAATAATAATACGAAAAAGATATTAGTGTATATATATACAGAGCTAAAAAACTTTTATGGTATAAATAATTAGAAGAAATAAAACAAAAGAAATAAGAAATAATTGATTCTAATAAATAATAATTGGCTGAAAAAAACTTCAGTTAATAATATATAGATAATGAAATAAAAAAGGTAATTTTTTTTTTTTATATAAAATAAAAAAAAATATAAAAATATCTTAAAGTTAATTTCTTTGATCGGAGATCCTTATAAAAATCCCGATCTGTAAATTCCTGATTATTTATGTTGTAAAGTAAGCCTTGATTTAATGGAAGAACCGGTAACTACTGAGGTAGGTCATACATATGAAAAATCTGTTTTAGATGAACATTTTAAAAAAAATGGATTTGTTGATCCTATTACTAGATAAAAAATTAATAAAAATCTATATCCTAATCTTTCAATTAAATAAGGAATATAAGAATTTTTAAATTAGTAAAATATTAATTTACTTATATATATATATACATATATTATTTTAGAAATCCTTGGGCATTTGAATTTTATTAAGATTAAGATTATAAAAATATAGAATTTTGATAAATTTAAAATATTTAATATAAATACATATATTTATATAAGTATATTTTTTTAATTAAAATAAAATTATTTATAATAATTATTTTAAATAAAATAAATATAATAAAAATATAAGTATTTTTAATATAGATTATATTCTATAATAAAAATAAAAAAAATATTATATAAATATATTTTTTTAATTTATTAAATAAAATTAAAATTTATTATTTTTTTTAATATTATATAAATAAATAAAAAAATTAAATAAAATAATAAAATGAATATTTTAGGAATACCTTAATATTAAGAAATATCTATTTAAAACAGCAATATCTTATAATAAAATGAATCAATTAAAACTTAAATTATGTAAAAGTAACTAAATTAAGGTTTTAGTTATGAGAAAATACCAAATCAAATAAAAACAATAAAGAATGTAAATATAAATAACATAATTGATTAAATTAATTTATCTAAATCTTAAATTTTACAAACTTAATTAAGTAATAAAAGATCTCTTAATTTTTTAAAAGAAACTAATAAATTTATATTAAAATAATGAAATAAAAATAAACGAAAAAATGGTTTAAAAACATACTAATAGATATATATATATATATATATATATATGTATTCAGATTCTAAATTAATTAAAAAAAAGTATAATTTATTTTATTTAATTTATATGTATTTATAAAAAAAATTTTCAAATTTCTTTTTATTTGTAATAAATAAAAAATAATAATAATTTAAAATGTACACAAAATCAAAAACCAAATTTGAAGTATAAAAAAAAGGGAAATCCTCTTAATAATAATTAAATAAAATAGATTAATAAAATAATATCTAAAAACCAACAAATGAATAACAAAATGAAAACGAAGAAATAAATAAATAAAATACAATATAAATTATAGTAAATAATGCTTATTAAGAAGAAATATAAAATAACAAAGAATAAAAAGAAGAAAATTAAAATAACTTATAATATTTAATAATCAAAAATAAAGAAAGCATTAAAATAAATGAAAATTCATATGAAGAAGATGATAATGAATACAATGATAATATTGATAAAAATTATAAATCTAGAAATAACTCATTAACTATTAAAAATTATATAAACGAACTAAGATAAATAATGCCCATAAATAACTAATAAGAAAAAAGCTAAAGTTAACCATTAATCCTATAAAAATTAACTCCTAAAAAATATTCCATTTATCATCTTTTTACGGAGTTTTATTTAGGTTAATATAAAGCTCCAATAAGTGATGCCTATATTTTTTAAATGTTAAAATGGTAATTTATTTTTATCAATAATATATATCATTTTATAAAAAGGAAAGGGTAATATCATTTATTGGAAATCAATCATACATATTTTCATTGGTTATTCCCTCATTTTAGTGGATAAATATCTAAAGATAGGGCCATGTTTTTTAGATAAAATGCAATAGTAAACTTATCTATTATTTTAATTATTATATATGTAAATATTTATATGTTTTAGATTGGGAAAAGAATAATTGAAAGTTATAAATTAATTTTAGACTATTTTGGTTTATAATTAGATGATGAAAAGACTGGTAAAATCTCGAGAAATGAAAATTACTTGTTAAGATATAAAGAAACTCTACTCAATCCTTATGTAAATAGTGAATTTAGAATAAAAAGAATGCTATAGTTTTTAAATGTAACTGGTTATAGAATATATGCGATTGAATTCGTAGATTTTTTCGATAAAGAAATCAATAAATCTGGAAAATAATAAATTTCTATACTTAAGCCTTTAGAAAAAGTATTTTTAATTGATTTTAAACCTTATGGATATATAGATGAAAAAGATAAAAAGGGATAAGATTTTTTAACTAAGAAATGTGTTTTTTCTTACGAAATATTAAATACTGAAAAAAATAATCATCTAAAAACTTTATGAAAAAATAATTTATTTTTTATATATATATATTTTTTTGATTTTTTAGTTTTTTTTATTTTTTTTGTTGTAGTTTTTTGTTTTATTCGGAGTTTTTTGTGTTATTTGGGTTTTTGGGGTTATATGGGTTTTTAGGGATTTTAGGGTTATTTGGGTTTTTTGAGTTATTTGGGCTTTTTGTGTTATTTGGCTTTTTGGCTTTTTGAGTTTTTTTGTTATTTGTGTTTTAAGGGTTAATTGGGATTTTTGAATTTTTTGGGTTTTTGAATTTTTTGTGTTTTTTTGAATTTTTTGTGTTTTTTTAAATTTTTTGTGTTTTTTAATTATTTTTGGTTTTTTTATGTTTTTTGTTATTTTGGCTTTTAGATTATTTTGGTTTTTAGATTTTTTTGGTTTTTTTGGTTTTTATGTTTTTTTGGTTTTAGGGTTTTTTAGTTTTTTTTTTTTTTTTTTTTTTTTTTTTTGGATTTTTTGTTGTTTTTTTTTTTTTTGGTGTTTTTTCGTTTTTTTTTAGTTTTTTTTGTTATATATGAAAAATAAAAAATAAAAAATAAAATAATGAATAAATAAAAATTAATAAAAGTAATAATAATAGGAAACGCAGGAGTCGGCAAAACATCAATAATTAATTCTTTTTGCTGGAATTAATTTAGTTAATAAACGACATCAACTTTAGGTATAGATTTTCAAACACACACATTAAAATATGATGATAATTAAAGCATAAAATTATAAGTATGGGATACAGCAGGTTAAGAAAAATATAAATCATTAACAAAATAATATGTATAATTGGCAATGGGATGTATAATAGTTTGTGATGTATAAGATTTATAAAATATAAAAAGCGTAAATTAATGGAGAGATAATTTCAAAGAACATTCTCAAAATTAGTACATTCCTATAGTTTTAGTTGTTAATAAAATCGATATAATTTAGAATTAAAAAGAAGTTGAAATTATTTATAATAAAATAAAGTAGTTTGTGGAAGATAACAATTATGAAAAATTCTATTTAGTTTCAGCAAAAAATAGATAAAATTTAGAAATAATGTTTAGTGATTTAGCTAAAAATATTGTTTAAATTTAAAAAAAAATCAAACTTAGACAAGATGATGAAGATAGTAATTTATCTTTTTCAAATTTTGAATCTTTCCAAAAAACTTAGAAAATTAAAAAGTTAAAATAAAAGAAATGTTGTTGATAATTTTTTTATTAAAATTATAAATTAGTTAAATTTGTTATTTTCATTTAATTGTTTTTTTTTAAAATATAGAAATTTATAAATATAAAATATATAATAAATATATATATATATATATATATATATATATATATATTATATTTTTTTATTATATTATATTTTTATTTATTAATTAAAAAATTAATTAATGTTATTTTTTATTAAAAAAATATATATAATATATAAAAAAAATACTATTTTATTTTTATATATAACATAATATTTTTTTATTATATTTATTTTTTTATATGACATTTATTATTTAAAAATTTATTTAAAAATATTGCAGTTATTATTATCAATATTTTTTGTTTTTTTAGCTATCTCTAATCGCAAAATTTTTATAACAGATTCATTATATGTCTCACATTCTTTTTATCTTATTCCTCTTAATGTAAATATTTTTATTATAATTTAACTTTTATGAAATTTATAAATCATCATTTATAAAAACTTATTAATATAAAGTCTATATATATATATTTGATTTTTATATATATAAATTTATAAATGTATTTGATAATTCATTTAATTTATTCATTTCTTTATTAAAAAACAAATAAAAAATATTATCAATTTTTTATTTTACTAAGTTTCTTATTATTTATTTAAATAAATAAAAAAATTTAAAGCATAATATAAATTTAGTAAAAACATTTAAATTAAAAATAAAATATAAAAAAATTAAATTGAATAAAGCAAAAAAAATAAAAAATATATCAAAGTTTTATTTTTTAAATATTTTATTTCTTATTTTAATTATTTTTAAAAAATATAAAATAAAATTGTTTTTTTATTTTATTTTAAATAAAAAAGAAAATAATTAAAAATAAAATCTATTTTCTAAATTTTTATAATTAAATAAATAATTAAAAAATATATATATGATTAATAAAACTAAATAAAATTAAGATTTTTATAAATATATATAATATAAAATAATAAAAATAATAAAATAATAAAATATTTATATATTTTATATATATATATATATATTTATTTATATATTTATATATATATATGTATATATAATTTTTTTATTTTTTTAAATATTATGTAATATTTTATTTTTTAAAGTACAAAATTATATAAATTTTTATTTTATATAATATAAATAAATATTAATAAATTATTTTTAATTATATATACTTTAAATTTAAAAATTAATTCTATTTATATCATTATAAATTTACATTAGATTAATTTTATTTTAAAATATCAATATATATACATATATATTTTATTTATAATTATATTAATATGATTAATATTTAAGAATTTTTATATTTTTAATATTTAAGAATTACTTATTAAAAGTAAATAAGAATATTCTTTAAAAAATAATTGTAATTAATTTATTTAATATTGTTTTTATGAATATAAATATTTATATTTTTTTCTTTTATCTCTATATATTTAAAATAAAATATAACATATTAAAATTTAGATATATACTAATTTTAAAAATATGATTTTTATAATTTGTATAATATAAAATTAAATAAAATATCTATATTTGAAAATTCCGAATTTTTCTATATTTAAAGTTTATAAAGTCCCATAAGAATTATATATAATATTTTAAATATATATAATATATTTATTCATTTATTAAATTAATTATAAAGCTAAATATAAAGTTAATTTGACTATAAATTATATAATAAATCCCGAACATCTAATTTTATTTTAAATTTTTATAAATAATTATAAGGTTTTTGACAACCCCCCCTCCTTATAATAAATTCATAATTATAGTTTATTTCCTTTATTTAATTTCCTTATTTTATATTATATTATTACTATTAAAGCTATATTATACAAATGAATTTTAAAAAAAGTTTATTTAAAAATTTGATTTAATAATTAAATAAAAAAAATATACTTTCTAGATACCTAAAACTTACCTAGTTTTTTTGTTATAAAAAAAATAATTGATGAAATATAATTAATTTTTCTTTAATAATTCCTTTCTAGACTACTAGAAATTCATAAATATAAAATATTGAATAATATCAATTAAAATATAAAAAATACAATATAATTACTGTCTTTTTTTACCATAATATTCAGTGAATGTAATTATTTACTTTATATTACTTAATAAATATAATATATATATATAATAAATACTTAAATGAAATATATATATAATTTTAAATTCTTAATAAAGTTTAGATTTATAACATTAATAATAATAAAAATTGCGGTTTTTTTTTATTTTTGTAAAAAAAAAAAAAAATTTAATAAAAAAAAAGAAGATAAATTATTAATTATTTTTTATAAACTAAAATATTTATTATTCTCATCAAAATAATTTCAATAAATAAAATACTAAACTAATAATAAATACAGTAATTAACAAACTAGATTTAGTTCCCAAATTATAATATCTACTTCAATATATAATTTGAATATTAATAATATGATTTTAATAAAAAGATCTCAAAAACAAGAGTTTAGCTATTATAGTAAACTAAATGTATATAAAGGGATTCATAAATAATAATAATAAGTAATTTATATAATAGTTCTATTTGGGTTAAATATCTTAAATAATTATTTATATTTAACTTTTTATTTAAATATTTTTTTTTATAGGTTAGTCTATTTTATAATTAAATTTTTTTATCTATTTCTTAAGTTTTTTGTTTGTTTATTTCTTTTATATAAAAAAAATAAAATAATTAAAATAACTAATAATATAAAAAGTACTCAATAGAAATTTACAAATAAACATAATAATTTTTTATTAAGAAAAAAAAAAAAAAAATATTAAAATTTGTTTAAGAAAAAAAATATAAAAAAATATAAAATATATATACTTATTATAAAAAAATGTCAGAACAACAATAAAATAACAATGAAAACGATACTAATAGAGTTATTCGTGTATATGCTGATGGAGTATATGACGGATTTCATTTTGGTCATGCTTAATAAGTACAAATAAAACTAAAAAAAACTATATATATAATTAAAAACATAGCTTGAATAATGTAAAAAACTATTCCCTAATGTACATTTGATAGTAGGAGTTGCTGACTAAGAAGAAACTGAAAAATATAAAGGAGCAACTTTAATGAATGGTTTAGAACGTACATTAAGGTAACTTTTTTTTTAAAAATAAATAAATAAATAAATATATATATAGTGTTAAACATTGTAAATGGGTAGATGAAGTAGTATATCCTTGTCCATGGATTATTAATTAAGAATTTATTGATTAAAATAAAATCGATTATGTAGCTCATGATGTAGCTCCTTATTCTAGTGGAGGGACAGATGATATTTATGCTTTTGTTAAAAAAATAGGAAAATTTAAAGAAACATAAAGAACTGATGGAATTAGTACTTCTGATTTGATTATGAGAATTCTTTAAAATAGAGATGTTTATACTTTAAGAAATTTAAAAAGAGGGTATACTAGAGAATAGTTAGGTATTAGTTATTTTGAATAGATTGTTCTTTAAACTAAGGATTATTTAAAAAAATTCGAGGCGGCTGTTATGCCTTGTGCTAGAAGAAGAAAAAATAAAAATATTTAGAATAAGAAATTAATATATATATATATATATATATATATATATATATATATATAAATATATATATATATATATATATATATATTTATATACAAATTAATATATATTTTAATTTTATTTTATGTTTGTAGTTTATATTTTTTTTCTTTTCTTTTTATTTTATATATATATATTTAGTTTTAATTATTTTTCCTTATTTCCTTTTTATATTTTTATTATAATCTTTTTTTTAAAAAAAATAACTAGAAAAAAAAAAAAGGAAAAATAAATCCATATTTTGTCTTTTTAATTATAATTATTTTATAAATTAAAAATTGAAAGTAATATTTATTTAATAGAAAAATATATTTATTAAAATATATATATTTTTCTTTTCTTTTTTATATAAATAATTATAAAAAAAAATACATTATAATAGATATATAGATTATATATTTAAAGTGAATTTTAATTAAAAATTATATTATTTTAAATTCTTTTCTAAAATTAAATATATAAAAATAAATTTTAATTATTGTTTTATTTATTGATAAAAATGTTAATAAAATAATAAATATATATTGTTTTTAAATATTTTTAAATATTTATCAATTAAGATTTATATTTTCATTTATTATACTTGAAAAAAATAAATATATTTTGATCTTTTTTGAATCAAATTTATAAATTTAATAAAAATTAATTATTTTTTATTTTATTAAAAATAAGAATTTATATAAATATTTAATAAAAAATTATATTTTTCTTCAATTTATTATAAATTTAATTAATATTTTATTTATATATTTTGTATAATATTTTTCATTTAATTGACTACAATATTTTTTTTATTTAAATATAAATGTATATTTATTAAGAATTATAAATTAATTTATATAAAAACAGAAAAAATATTATAAAAGTAAATTTGGTAAATGTTTATAAATATTATTATATAATCTATTTTTTTAAAAAAAATAATAGAATTAAATTTATAAATTATAAAATAGGATTAATAAATATTATATTTTTCTTATATTTAAAATATAAATATTTTATCTAAAAATTATATAAATTTAAATTATATTTAAATTTAATAATAAAAAATTAAAATATAATTAATAAATAAAATAGTTTCTAAAAATTAATAAAAATGTAATTAAGATAATTTTCAATATAAAAATTAAATTATGTAATTAAAAAATAAATATGTATAAACATTTAATAAATTCTTAAAATATTAAAAAAAATTATCAAAATCAAAAAACTAAAAAATATTATGAAATATCTCGTAATATAAAAAATTAAAAAAAAAAAATAGTATTATTAAATAAATATATAAAATCAGTTAATATATATAAAAATAAAAGAT